GGTCGCCCGAAATAAGCGGTAGACAACAGATTAAACAAGTAACAGAATATGCCCCATAACCGGCTCTTTTAGAGTTGCAATTTCCACATAAAGCCGGATTTCTGATAGCTTGAAATAGTGGGTTGAACAGTGATGCTAGACGGTGGCGCTGAAGATCGTAGCCTGACCAGAAACAACAAATATGGGCAGATTGCAGTACTCTTGAAAGCGTTGCGTAGAAAGACTTCTACTCAGTGATAAGGTAACTCTAAAATGTAATTAGCAAGCAGTAAACGCGTGGCAACGTATAATAAACGGCAGCATTTAAATACCAGGTTTCACTGCTTCAAGACGAGATACGAGGGCCTCTACGATGGTTAGCATCATGATTGTTGCAGCCGCATTGCTCATCCACATAGAGAGGAACCACGTGGGCAGCATAAGTCCCAACATCAACCTGCCGGTCAAATGAATGAAAAAAATAGAGGGGAGTTACAAGCAAGCAATCAGTATCAAGATCGGAAGCATAAATCTCACCAGATGGCCCAACTGATAAAAAAAAACGGTTTGTCCATTTCTGCATTAAGGTGGCCAATATGAACACTACTAAAGCTAGTGATCATGAGAGCGTTTCTAAAGAAGTACAAAGACACAAATCTACGACTAGGAAAAAAACTGTAGGTTTCTACTTGTTCGCATAAATGCTGCCTATAGCAACGAAGGTGTTCCTTCTCAATATTGCACCGCCCTGTTGTCGAAGCTTAGAGAATAACGCTGCCTAAATGATTTTCCCTTAACTTAAATGATCGTCCCTCAATGTTAGCGTTTTCAGAAAAAGCTGTGCGTGTTCGAACCGGCTTCTCTTGAACCGGCCAACTTTTGGTCGAAAAAAATTAAACGATGTGTAAAACTCACATTCGGGGGTCTCCTCCCATAATTTTCATAACAGCCAAACCGATTCGGCGATGGAGATTTCGGTGTTCCGTAGCGACAGCCAAAAAGGCTCCACCAATGAAAAGCATGCATGAGTCCTAGAGGGGTCGGTTAAAAGAAGCAGGCAACGCCTAGATTCAGTCTCCCAAAACTAGTGGCGAAATGAGCAGACGCGATTTAAACAGACTTTCTTTATAGAGCAAGGCTGCAGTAATGCATAGGAAACAAGAGGAA